ATATGACAGTTGATTGAGATGTGGAGGACAGGATCCAAAAAAAAAAAAAAAAAAAGTGGTGAAGGTGGGCATCCTTTTCTTGTTCCTGATCTTCAGGGGAAAGTTTTGAGACTTTCACGATTAAGTATGGTGTTGGCTGTGGGTTTTTTATAGATGTCCTTTATTAGGTTAAGAAAATTCCCTTCTATCCATAATTTGTTGTTTTTATCATAAATGGATGTGTATTTTCCAAATGTTTTTTCTGTGTCTATTAAGATGATCATGTGGTTTTGTCCTTTATTCTATTGATATAGAGCATTCAACTATTTTTCAGATGTTAAACCAACCTTGCATTCCTAGGATAAATCCCACTTGGTCATGGTGTATAATTCTTTTTACATTTTGCTAGATTTGGTTTGCTGATATTTCGTTGAGAATTTCTGCATCTATATTCATAAGGGTATTGGTCTGTAGTTTTCTTTTCTTGTGATATCTTTAATGTTGGTATCAGAGTAATATTGGTCTCAATGAATGAGTTGGGAAGTGTTCCCTTCTCTTCTAATTTTTTTTTTTTTGAAGAGTTTGTGAATGATTGCTGTTAATACCCCATTAAACTTTTAGCAGAATTCACCAGTGAAGCCGTCTGATTCTGGGTTTTTCTTTGTGGGAAGTTTTTCAATTACTAATTCAATCTCTTGTTAGAGGTCCATTCAAACTTTGTATTTCTTCTGGAGTCAGTCTGAGTAGTTTGTGTCACTTCAGGAATTTTCCCATCTCATCTAGGTTAACTAATTTTTTGGCATACAATTGTGCATAATGTTCCCTCATAATCCTTTTTATTTCTGTAAAGTCAGTAGTGATGTCCCCTCTTTCATTGCTACTTTTAATAATTTGAGTCTTCTCTTTTTCTTAGTCCACCTAATAGTTTGTCAATTTTGTTGATCTTTCCAAATAACCAGTTTCAAGTTGACTGATTTTCTCCATTGCCTTTCTATTCTCTAATTCATGTTTCCTCTCTAATCTTTGTTATTTCCTTCCTTTGCTTGCTTTAGGTTTTCTTTGTTCCTTTTTTAGTTTCTTAACATGTAATGTTAGGTTATTGATTTGAGATCTTTCCCTTTTTAAAAAAATACATTGTGATGGTTAGTTTTATGTGTCAAGTTGGCTAGATTCTGGTCACCAGTTGTTTGGTCAAACAGTAGTCTAGAAATTGCAGTAAAGGTATTTTTTAGATGCCATTAGTATTTACAATCAATTGGCTTTAAGTAAAGCATAGGCATACCTTGGAGATAATGTGGGTTCAGTTCCAGACTACCGCAATAAAGCAAATATCACAATAAAGTGAGTCACACCAATTTTTTGATTCCCCAGTACATATAAAAGTTATGTTTACACTCTACTGTAGTCTATTAAGTGTGCAATAGCATTATGTTTACAAAAAATGTACATACCTTAATTTAAAAATACTTTATCGCTAAAAAATGCTAACCATCATCTAAGCCTTTAGTGGCTCATCATCTTTTTGCTGGTAGGGTGTCTTGTAAAAAACGCAATATCTGCAAAGTGCAATAAAACGAGGTATGCCTATAGATTACTCTTCATAATGTGGGTGGGCCTCATCCAGTCAGTTGAAGGCCTTAAAAACAAAGACTGAGGTTTTCCAAAGAAGGAATTTTGCCTCCAGATTGCAACACAGAAATTCTGCCTGAGTTTTCAGCCTTCAGACTCAAGACTGCAACATCAACTCCCCTGAATTTCTAGCCTGCAGCTTGCTCTATGGATTTCTGACTTGCCAGACTCCATAATCAAATAAACAAATTCGCTGAAATCAATCTCAGTCTCTCTCTCTCTCCCTCCCCCCATATATACATATATATAAATAAAAATACATAAATATACACATAAATATACATAAATAAACCATCCTATTGATTCTATGCCTCTGGAGAACCCCAACTAATACATACATGTATTCACAGTTTCCCTGTAAGCACTGCTTTAGTTGCACCTAAAATGTTGGTATATTGCATTTGCATATCATTCATCTCAAAGTATTTTCTAATTTCCCTTGTGATTTCTTCTTTTTTAAAAAAATTTCATTTATTTCTTTTAATTAAGGTACATTTGACATATAACATTATATTAGTTTTAGGCATACAACATAATGATTTGATATATGTAAACATTGTGAAACAATCACCAGGATAAGTCTAGTTAACATCTGTTACCTTTTATAATTACAAAAAATTTTTTTCTTGTGATGAGGACTTTTAAGATCTACTCTCAGCAACTTTCAAATACGCAATACAGTATAATTAACTACAGTCACCATGCTGTACAGTACACCCCCAGGACTTACTTATTTTATAACTGGAAGTTTGTACCTTTTGACCCCCTTCAGCTCATTTCTCCCACCCTCACCCCCTACCTCTGGCAACCACCAACCTGTTCTCTGTATCTATAAGTTTGTTTTTTTTTGTTTTTAGATTCCACATATAAGTGAGATTATATGTTATTTGTCTTTCTCTGACTTATTTCACTTAGCATATTGTCCTCAGGCAGCTGTGATGTTAAAAAATTGCCACTGATTGTTTCAATAAACATACCTGGTGATTTCTGAGTCAGGTCAAATAACGATAAGCCTTGCAAGTGGGTTTTCCAGGGAACTGCCAGATAGGTCAAATAATAACAGTTATCTGGGAAACGGGCTTTGGAGGGGGTCCAACCCTGTTCTGTCCCCTCCACAGGTTGCTAAGCCACTGGATTTCACTGTGATTGCAGTGGTTTTCTAGATTACCATGGGGTTAGGAGACAAGTATGGGACTGGGGCAAGTTAAAATGCCAAAAATTCACTGCTGTTACCAAGATTCGGCTACTTTATTTGATAAACATTCCCAACTGTTGCAAGCTTTTGTTTAATTTCCTGAGTTCTCAAAAAGTTGATTTTGACAATTTTTGCCAGTCTCTTTCTGATTTAATGGAGGAGAGGACTTCTGGAGACCTGTATTCCACCATTTGGGCTGATGTCACTTCACTAAATCTTTAGATAATTATATGTTTTACAGACAGCTGTCTATATATCTGGACTCCTCTCCTACTTCACCTTCTTCCAAATGGAAATTATAATTCAGCAGTGAGGCTCAGATGGAAACTTGTGGACCAACTGCCACAAAACATTATTTAACACCTATCAGGTAAATCTAAGCCTTTTATGGGGCCTGCCCTTCACCTAATGGTTAGGTTCAGTGTGCTCTGCTTCCTCAGCCCAGGTTCAGTTCCTGGTGCAGACCTATATCACTCGTCAGTGGCCATGCTGTGGCGGTGACCCACATACAAAATAGAGGAAGACTGGCACAGATGTTAGCTCAGGGCGAATCTTCCTCAAGCAAAAAGAGGAAGAGTGGCAACAGATGTTAGCTCAGGGCCAATCTTCCTCACAAAACAAAGAAACAAATAAAAAATAAATAAAATAAAATAAAATTTAAAAATCTAAGTCTTTTAGTGCAGACTGCACAGACAGGTAAGTACTGCATAGACAGGAAAGTGAATATGTGGCAGTAATTCTGTTTTTTCAATACATGCCACATGGGTACTGTCTCTCTCCCACATGTCATGACCCTCTGCTACTACTTCCTAAGTCCTCCACTGCATGAACACCCACTAGTGTCCATTGGTGGGATAATATCTGGCTTTCACTCTGCATCTGGCACAAGGGGCACTACTGATAAAGAAGCTCAGTCAGAGACACAAAGATAGTCCAAATTCCCAAGGTTCTAGTCGTCACCATGACATTAATTGGGAATTTACAGACTTAAGAAATTAAAATCACTGCAATTGATAAAGAGCTCTTTAGATGCCCCACTAGGCTACTTCTATTCCAAAATCAAAGTTTTGTATCAGGTCATCTGAATTACAATACCTTAAGTAGCATTATTTTTTACACTCTATCAAAGCATTAGCCTTAGGGTGAGACCTTACCTTCACTTTAGAAATGAGGAAATTGAGACATTTCCTTCAGAGACTTTCCTAAGAGCACTCAGCAGGTTCACAGCAGAGCCAAGACTCTAATGAGGTCACTGATATTTCCAAAAGTTATTCCCATTCATCTAATGAATAACAAAGCTTAAGCGCGAGAAAATTCAGCCAACACCAGACTCTCGGAGCTGGTTAATTGAGAGTCTCTGACTTATCTTTTCTCCACCCCTGTTTCTGTAAACTTTTCCCATCTGCCTATTCACCTGAGGGCAAAGCTGTCTGATTTACGTAGAGCCCAACATGCACGGAGCTGCTTTCGACTTGGTGGAGCCCATTTCAGAAGGTAACCAAAGCCCTCGCTTGGCACCCTCGCCTCTCACCCCACGCCCTGTGCCGGGACGGGCCCGTTTAGCTCGCCTGTGCTTTCCTTCGCCTGTCCACAGCGCCTTCCGAACCGCACCAACATCTCTGACGAGGTGCCCACGGCGCTCTCAGAAAAGCGACCCCGACGTGGAGCGCAGCGGGCTCAAAGGCGCAGAGTGTTTGCCACACCCCGCAGTTACTTGGCAACGCCGCCGGAAGTGACGGCAGCCGTCGCCGAGGAACGAAGAACGCGCTGCTCTCGGCCGTAGGGTTGGAGAACGGAGGCTGCGCCTGCGCAGGACCCCGAGGCCCGGCGTGCGAGTAGGGTGGCCCTCGCGGGCAGGCGCCGGGGCGAAACCGGAAGACAGAGTAGGCAGGAGTGGCGCGGAGGCCAGCCGGCCTGGGTCCTTGAGGAGCCCTGGGGACCCGAACCGGCCTGCTGCTGCCGTCCTCATCCAACGCTGGCCTAACGGGGTACGACCCCCAACGAGGTCCCTGCACCTACCTTCGGGGCGGACCCGGCAGGTGTGTGGGAGAGCGAGGCCCAGGCTTGGTGTGTGCGGCCCACAGACCTCCTCGCGCGTGGAAGGTGAAGGGCAAAGCCCTCGTTAACTATAGAAACCCAGAGATTAACTGACAGAAAACCTGTTTGAAAATACTTGGGTTTCTAAGGCATGGCCTGAGCTAGATGGGGCTTAGTTTTTTAAAAACAGGAATGTTAAAAACTTGGTTGTCCCAGAACATTCATGTTAGGACTTTTAAGATACTTTAAATTGCTTGGTAAATACATTATAGTAAATTGTATTTGGGAGACCAGTCAGACCTCTAAGGACAGAAAAATCTGTTAAGAGTGGATGCAGGCTTGGTTTCAAAGAATCCTTTTCTAACACATTGAGGTACAAATGATTTCATTACAAGCTAGTTGGCTAGGACATGGCACCAAATTGGAATTGCTCAAAATGAAAGGAAGTTTAGATTTTTAATCACTAAAGTGATTTTTAATCATTAATACATAGTTGTACTGTTTTTCTTCAGGTTTTCTGTCAGATGTTCCACCGTAATAATGCTGGTAAGTATGAAAGGATTAATAAAATATTTGTTGACAGAAATTAGTTTTTGCACGTACAACATCGGTGGCGCTTTGGAAGCATAGTTTTAAAAATATCCAGAACTGGGATGAGTCAGCGATTTTACCCCAGTTGCAAGCTAACAGTTTAGTCTGCCACAGTTTTGTAGAAGACACAGACCCCTAGGTCAGAGATGAATTACAGCAGTAGCAGTAGCCAGAATATCAGCAGTTTTGCTCCAGTTCCCACAGGATGATGCAAAGAGTGCCAGAAGTGACCTGCACGTGGAGTGTGTTGCATTACAGGACAGGAACCTGAGCTTAAGGGACTCAAATCTTTATTATAATGGACGATAAGCATGCCTTTCAGGCTGTTCACTATACATACATTTTTGAGACAATAATTCAGAGCAAATGGCAGTGACTGCCTTGCTTGTAAGACATACAGAACCACTAGAAACCCATGGGGAATTACCTCCTAACAAAAATTCTTTGGAATTTTAACTAAATTGGTTACGAAAAATATTAACTCTTATAAGATTTGATGTCAGTAATTTGCCAGTTTGACATGGTGGTCAGATATCTTTTGATTTCCAACACCTGGTTCTAACTCTAACCTATGTTTCTTTACAGCCAACACCATCTAGAGTTAGTTATTTATCCTTCCACAACCTCTACTCCTTTTTTTTTTTTTGTGTTGTGCAATTAAGAAGGTGGCATATGCACTTTGATCTGAAACAGAGTTTAAATTATTCTGGGGAAGGGGCTGGCCCCGTGGTGTAGTGGTTAAGTTCGGCGAGCTCTGCTTCGGCTCCTGGGTTCAGGTTCGGATCTCGGGCGCTGACCTACACCACTCATCAGCCATGCTGTGGCAGCAACCCACATATAAAGTGGAGGAAGACTGGCACAGATGTTAACTCAGGGCTAATCTTCTAAAGCAAAAAAAAAAATTATTCTGGGGAAAATATTTTTATTACAAAATCAGTGTAGGAAAAAAATGCACTACAATTGAACCACCCATGATCCTACCACTGTAGAAATTTATTTTTTAAAAGCAGAAATGGGATTATACTGTACACACTGTTTTGTGACTTGTTTAATTTGAACTGGACATCTTAGCTTTTACTGGCTAAATAAATATTCCATTATATAGCTCTCACATACATGTCTTATTTAACCAATCCCCAAATCTTGGATGTCTATCAAGTTTCTAGTTTACATTATTGTAAAAAGCACATATGCTATTGTTAGACTATGGAAACATTGCAGACATACCAAATATATACTGCTTGTGCTTTTGGAGAGAATAGTTAATAACTATTTTGGAATTTTAACAAACTGGTTTCAAAATAGATTCATATTCTTAAAATTAAATCTTTATGCACATCCTTAATTTTTGGAGACATTTTTATTTCAAGTATAGCACTAAATATTTGAAAGTTTATTGACAACAGAAGGTGGTATTTGTCTATTTAACAAGTAAAAAGAAAAATGGAATCTGGAAATCTCAACATAATCAGCCTAACACTTGTGATTTTATCCACTGGACAAAAACTTACATTCACGTAACATTCCCTGTTTTGTATTTAAGCTTTTTGTTGTTTAATCAAAATTTTGTGTCTCCCATTGCCAGTAAGTGCTTTTCTGATGTAAGAGAAAATATAATTTTCTACATAATTACAAACCATAAATCTTAAAATATCTTAAATACTTCTCTTAATTTTAGGAGTTAAGAAGTCTCTATTCCTTTGCTCCAAACCAGAAGACTTTGTTCCCTGATACAGAGTAGGAGCAATGTTGGTTAGAAACTGGCTGGTGTTTAAAACTGAAGACTGTCATGACTATTTAACCTAGGCTCTATGCTGAAGTAAGATTAATTGTCTTGGAAATACTAAGTTGGGTAAGTATTCTTAATAAAAGCTTATGTTGAGGGGTGAGAAAAAACTAATAGAAAAAGATCTGAAATTAAGAAATGTACACTTTTAGATAGAAATTAATAGTCAACAGTGGAACTATGTTAACTTCTGGCTTACAACATTTCTCATTATTTTGAGATTAATAGTTCAGGAATTTCAGTAAATTGTGGTTAATTAAATCTAGGCTTGAGGTAGTTTTCAGTCACCAGAGTTACATTTGAAATTTTTTTTTTAAATTATGTATAAATTCAGAATGCTAAAAAAAGCATGTTTAATTTAAAATGTGCCTAGGTACAGTACTAATGTGATTGTCAACTATGCCTTATTGCTGTTTATTATATTGTTTCTATGGGAAAGTGAATTCTGCACTTAAATCTCTGGGAGCCAGCCAGAAACACCTGGATTAGACATTTAGAGATACAAGGATCCAGAGCATCAAAATATTATAGACTGTCTAAATTCACACAACATGAGATTCACACAACATGAGATACTCTCTTGGTTAGTTGTTCTCCAGAGATTCTCAACTGAGAGACTCAGAATACTTGCCTTTATATGAGTCATGAGCTCTATTCTCAATTTCATCTACTGGATATCTGTTGTTACAAACCAGAGAATACATGTGGTTAAATGCCATGTTTTCCATTTTTAATTGATTTCTTTTCTTATTGGTAGGGTTCTTCACCTTTTTTTTAGGATTTCTTGCTAAATGCTCACAATAGGTATAAAGTAGATTTTACCACACCTGTGGTAAAATGTGGTATTATGGTTAGTGTGTACTTTGAGACTAATAAATGTTTTCATGTAATGAAACATCTTTTCGTCAAAATGACCTTAGTATTTTATTTTTAAACTGATTAATAGTCTTTAAATATTCTATTTCTTAGGCTCTAGAGCGTGATACTTAAAAGCATGAACTTTGGAGTCAAGCAGACCTGAGTCCAAATTCCAGCTCTGCCACTTAACTAATACTTAACCACTTTAATCCTTAAGCTCCAGTTTACGTATCTTTAAGATGAGAATAATAATTCCTACTTAATAGAGTTATGACAGTTAGATGATGAGATTGTAAAGTTCCTAGTCCAGTGCCTGGTGTATAGTGATAGCTCTAAAAATATTAATTACTCTTTTTAAAAAAATTTTTTTGTTTACACACACAAATTGTAGCTTTTTCTGGGTATTCTGTATAATTATCTTTTTTACATGATAACTTTCGTCCATACCATCTGTTGACTAGTTTATTCTTGCCTTTTCTCTTGAGATTTATAATTAACGACCTTCATTATCTTTTAATGAAAGCAGAGATTTAAGTAATTGTCATATCATAAGTAATGTGATTACTCACATATGTCCACATTATTGGGCACTCCAGAGCTAAACTATCTAGCGAAAATATAAATAAATGTGAAAATTGTTTAAAAAAAACTTACTTCTAGTCTGGAAAAATTGAATTGACCTCCAGTTCAAGTAATTTTTTTAGAATTTCAAGTACAACATTAAGCAACCATTTAGTTATGACATTGGCATTGATGATTTCAAGCTTAAACATCTTTTTAGAAAAATCATTTAAATTTGCAAGATTTCATGTTATGTTAAATTTGGTCAGAATTTTCATTAGTACACACCAGAGAATCTTTATTACACATGACTTGTTATTTAATATGAGGATTATTGTAAATATTTTAAATGAATAAGTTTGTGTGTGATAATTTACAGATGATAAGAATGATTAGCCTACATTTTTTTTCTGCCTTATAACTTTTCTAAATTAGATTGTAAGAGAATAATTGTTCCATTACTTCTCTCATTGGATTGCTCTATGGTTTAATTCTGAGTGCTCAAAGAATCATCCCCACAGGAACACAATAATACTGTGAGTATCCTTTTTAGATATTCTGTTTTCCATTCACTTAAAATACTCAAATATGAACTTTGCTTCTTAGGAAAAAGTGCTTAAATGGTGGTCTTAAAATGCTTAATCATTTTAGCTTGTTTATATTCACCCTTTGTTTTAGCAGATTAACACTCAGTAATGTTTGTTAAATAAGTATAATAGCTGATATGTAAAACAGTATGTTTAGGAATAATATTTCTTCTTTTTCAGGGTAACCGAAATCTGTTTCTAGAACCATGAAAATTTTGCTGGTTTTTGACTTTGACAATACAATCATAGATGACAATAGTGACACCAGGATTGTACAATGTGCTCCGGAGAAAAAGCTTCCTATTGAACTAAAAGATTCTTATGAAAAAGGATTTTGGACAGAATTTATGGGCAGAGTCTTTAAGTATTTGGGAGATGAAGGTGTAAGAGAAGATGAAATGAAAAGAACAGTGATATCAATGCCTTTCACTCCAGGGATGGTGGAACTTTTAAACTTTATAAGAAAGAACAAGGATAAATTTGAGTGTATCATTATTTCCGATTCCAATTCAGTCTTCATAGATTGGGTTTTACAAGCTACCAATTTTTATGATGTGTTTGATAAAGTGTTTACAAATCCAGCAGCTTTTGATAGCGATGGTCATCTCACTGTGGAAAATTATCATGCTCATTCTTGCAATAGATGCCCAAAAAATCTTTGCAAAAAGGTAGTTTTGGGAGAATTTGTACATAAACAGTTACAGCAGGGAGTGAATTATACACTAATTGTTTATATAGGTGATGGTGGAAATGATGTCTGTCCAGTAACCTTTTTAAAGAAGAATGATGTTGCCATGCCACGGAAAGGATATACGTTACAGAAAACTCTTTCCAGAATGTCTCAAAATCTTGAGCCTGTGGAATCTTCTGTTGTAGTTTGGTCTTCAGGTATTGAAATAATTTCTCATTTACAATTTCTAATAAAGGAGTAATATGCCAACAATTGAAATGTGTATCAGTTAAGATTAGGTACAGCAGCATAAAACTAAAACCCGAAATACCAGTGGCTTATAAAAAAGAAAGATTTTTTTTCCCTCTCACTTAAAAGAATTCCAGGCTACTGTGTTGCTCTACCAACCTCAGCACTTGGCCTCCCACTCATGATCCAAGATTGCTATTCAAGCTCCATCCCTCACATCATCAACATTCTGGCCAGCAAGAAGAAGGGAAGTAAGTGAGAAGGTTGCACCCTCATTTAAATTTCATTGGCCAAAACTTAAGTACAATGCCCCCACCTAACTGCAAAGAAGGATAAAAAATATAGCTTTTATTACAGATGGTCATATGCCTGGGAAAAATTGGAAAAAAGAGGAGTACAAAATTGAGGTAAGAGGTGAATGCAACTAGTGGTCTCTACCCAAGGTGGGTGATAGGTAGATTATATTTTTAAATTTATTCTCAGAGTAGTTGTATATTTTACTTTCTTAGATACTTATTTCAAAAGCATGTCCAGTAGTTACAGATCTTAGAAATAAGCCTGTTGCTTTATTCACATAAGAATAAAAGGCTCCCAAATGTATATAATGTCCTACTCCTAAGTCAGTGTATTTTGAAAATAGGGATGCAGTATATGTTGCCCAAATTTTCATCAATTTCAGACTTTCCTTTTGAAATGAAATACAAATTAATGTTCTTCAAATATTTTAAATGTATATTAGCATCACAGACTATAACTCTAGTATGCTGGTTTAATTAGTATGTTATTTCTGTTTGGCAATGCAGTCTTGAGTGATAACAATATATAATTTGTAGAGATACTCTACATTTAAGAGACTGTTTCATATAGAGATTTTAGCAAAATATCAACTGATCTAGAAAGTTTTATAATTCCATGCTAATTTCTAGACTCATGTTTTAGAGGCATAAATATCCATTATGTAATAATATTAGGATTTTCTTTTCCATTATGGAAAGCTCCAGAAATAGAAGTGTTCAGTATAATTTAATGGGAAAAAACTGGTACTGATTTATTTTTCCTAGGTTGAAAGAGTAAATCTTTGGTTTGCTTTATTTTTTTTATTTATTTATTTTTTATAATTTTATTTATTTATTTTTCCACCAAAGCCCCAGTAGATAGTTGTATGTCATAGCTGCACATCCTTCTAGTTGCTGTATGTGGGACACGGCCTCAGCATGGCCAGACAAGCGGTGCGTCGGTGCGCGCCCGGGATCCGAACCCAGGCCGCCAGCAGTGGAGCACGTGCACTTAACCGCTAAGCCACGGGGCCGACCCTGGTTTGCTTTAAATTAATAGGTTAGATTATGTTGAAACACATTTACTCTATTGATTATCATTTGTTTCCTTGTTGAGGCCAGTAACAAATAATAAATCACGGAAATAAAAAAATAAGACTTTCATTTATAGTAATGGTAGACCAAGTAGTAATTTGGACCACATCTTCTACAGAGCACGTGTAGAAAAGCTGACAGCTGAACACGATTTTTTAAAAAGCTGCTTAAAGATGTGAGAGAGCTGACAACAATGAACAATTGCTGAGGAAGCACAGAAACCTAGGTAGATGAGCTGCTTTTCCCTGGAAGTGTGGGCCAGTTCTGTAAGTGGTGTCTGAGATAACTGAGTGGCTATCTTGACAATCTCATGGGACCAGGGGGAAGAGCCAGTGGAGTATGTGGCCTGCACTGGTAAACCCTTCCTCTTACTCTGAGTAAGGATCCCAAAAGGCTGCCCATTAGGAATGAGAATGATTCAGAAGTAAACACATTAAAAGGGATGGTGGTGTGTGTGTGAAGGGGGTGACCTATGACTTGCTTCTGATCAGTGGAATACCACAAAGACGATGGAATGTATGTGATTTTGTCTACATGATTACATTACATCAGATTCTAATGCCCATCTTGTTAAGAAGCACTCTCCCTTGTTGATTTTGAAGAAGCAAGCTTGAGGCCGGCCCAGTGGTCTAGTGGTTAAGTTAGTGCGTTCCACTTCAGCAGCCCGGGGTTCACAGGTTCGGATCCCAGGTGTGGACCTATGCACTGCTTATCAAGCCATGCTGTGGCAGGTGTCCCACATATAAAGTAGAGGAAGATGGGCACAGATGTTAGTCCAGGGCCAATCATCCTCAGCAAAAAGAGGAAGATTGGCAACAGATGTTAGTTTCAGGCTACTCTTCCTCACCAAAAAAAAAAGCAGCAAGCTGCCATGTTGTGAATTGGCCTTCAGAGAGGGCCACATGGAAAGCAACTGAAGGTGGCCTCTAGCCAACAACAAGAAGTAGGCCCTTGGTCCAACAGTGTACAAGGAACCGAATGCTGCAACCATGCAAGCATGGAACTGGATCCTTTCCCAGTGGAACCTCAGCTGAGACCACAGCTCAGGCTGACACCTTGATTTAGCCTTATGAGACTCTGAAACAGAGACCCTAGTTGAGCTGTGCTTGGACTCCTGACCCCTAGAACCTATGAGAAAATAAATATGTGGTTTAAGATGCTGCTTGTGGTAATCCTGTTATGCAGCAATAAAAAATTAATGCAGCAAGCCTCAAATCTATAAACAGTTTTGCCAAGTACATTGTAGGGCACACAATAACAAGTAGCCACACCAGAAGACATGAATGAATACCAGCAGCATTTACACAGATCTTCAGGACCTCCAGATACTGGAGTTTTCAGACACAAATCAAACATGAGAATTTTGGCAAAGAGTTGAAAGTTACATAAAAAATATGGAAATTCTAGAAGTGAAAATTACCATGACTGAAATTAGAATCGTGATGGATGGATTTGACAACAGAACAGGCACAGCTGAAGAGAATTAGTGAATGAACACAAGTTAGAAGAAAATATCCAGAATGATGCAGAGAGACAAAACAGTGAAAATACAGAAGAGACGTTAAGAGACATAAAAGATATAGTAAGATCTAACCTAGGAAACTGGTGTCCCAGAAGGAAACGAGAAAGAAAATGAAACATAGGCACTGTTTTAAGAGATAATGACTGAGAACTTTACAAAATTGATGAAAAACAACAAACCACAGATGCAAAAGCCCTCATGAACTCCAAGCAGGATAAATAAAAAGAAAACCATGTGAAATCACACCATGGGAAAACTGCCGATAATCAAAGGTGGAAAAAGCATTAGGCATTCAGAGAAAAAAAAGATGACATTGAAAGGAGCAACAATTAAACTAACAGGTGGTATTTCTTAAAAGTTTGATAGAATTCAACAGTGAAGCCATCTAGGCCTTGGAGTTTTTGTTGGAAGATTTTTAACTACTAATTCAATTTCTTTAATAGATACAGGACTGTTCAGGTATAGTTTTTCTTGAGTAAGCTTTGGTAGTTTGTGACTGTATTTGTTACCTATTGCTGCATAGTTATTTACCTCAAAATTTCACAGCAATAATACTAAGCATTAATTATCTCACAGTTTCTGTGTGTTGGGAATTCAGGAGCACTTAACTGGATTGTTCTGGCTCAGGATCTCTAATGGGTCAAGATGTCAGCGAGGGCTGGAGGATCTGCTTACAAGCAGGCTCACTCACGTGGCTTTTGGCAGGAGGCCTCAGTTTCTCACTGATTGTTATCAGGAAGGCTCAGTTTACTGCTGGTTGTTGGCAGGAGGCCTCAATTTCCAACCACATGGGTCTCGCCAAAGAGCTGCTTGAGTATCCTCAAGACAATTTCACGCCAGGTGAGTGATCCAAGAGAGAGGGTAAAGAGGAGACCATAATGCCTTTTGTGACCTAGTCTCAGAATTCAAACACCTGCACTTCCATCATATTCTGTTTGTTAAAACAGAACAGTAAGTCAAGCCCACACTCAAAGGGAGGGGAATTAGACTCCAGTTTTTTTTTTTAATTTAATTTTTGTGTGTGTGTGTGAGGAAGATCAGCCCTGAGCTAACATCCATGCCAATCCTCCTCTTTTTTTTTTTGCTGAGGAAGACCGGCCCTGAGGTAACAGCTATTGCCAATCCTCCTCCTTTTTTGTTTTTCCCCTTTTTCTCCCCAAGGCCCCAGTAGATAGTTGTATGTCATAGTTGCACATCCTTCTAGTTGCTGTATGTGGGACACGGCCTCAGCATGGCCGGACAAGCGGTGCGTCGGTGCGCGCCTGGGGTTCCAAACCCATGCCGCCAGTAGCAGAGCACGCGCACTTAACCGCTAAGCCATGGGGCTGGGCCTAGACTCCACTTTTGAGGGGGAGTTAAAGAATGTTGGACATACTTGAAAACCACCATAGGGTCTCTTGAGGACTGTGTCCATTTCATGTAAGTTGTGAAATTTATGGGCATAAGGTTTTTCATAATATTCCCTTTTTAACTCTTTAATTTTACAGTAAACATATGTATACATACTATATAGATTTTACCATTAACATTTTTCCCTACTTTTATCACATGTCCATCCATCCTTCTGTCTTTTTTTTCCTTTGCCTTTTTAACATGAGCATCGTTCTTCCCCTTTCCTTATTTGTTCCCCAGTGTATCAAACCCAGTGCTTCTCTGGGTCTGATTGGAACTCAGATATCTTCTAGCTCTGTGTGGACTCTAGGAATTGTTTAATTTATACTTCCTGGGTCATTCTTTGCCCAGACTTAGGGAGTTTCACCCTATGCATGTGTGGCTTAGTATCCAACCACAGACTTAAGGGGACATCCCCCTTACAGATTTCTGGAACTCTTTCTCAATTTAGCTCCTTCCTGTCTGGTACTCTGCCCTGCAAATTGCAGCCACTTCTGCCTCCCTAGACTTATCTCCGTCTCTTCAACTCAGCGAGACTACCGTGGTCTACTTGGGACCCCCTGCACCTTGGGCTGGAACGTGTCTCCAGGCAGAAATATAGGCAATTGTAGGGCTCACGTCATTAGTTTTCCTTCTCTCAGGGATCACAGTCCTGCACTGCCTGTTGTCCAGTGCCTGAAAACTGCTATTTCTTGTGTTTTGTCCAGTTTTCTTATTGATTACAATGCGAGGGTTACTCC